CTGTGAGAGACAAGAACGCAGAAGAGAAAAGAACACAGTTCCACAGTTCACAAAGCTTAAGTCACAATCTCCTCACACAATCCCTGGACCCCGATTGGGTACAACCGTTGCTAAGCATTGTGGGGATTGTAGACTGTGCTTTCCACTCCCGCACAGGTCTCCAGGGCTTAGACCTCACTAGGCCTCGTCTACCAGTTCTACACAGATCATGACAATACCTCAATGGCTTCAGTCAGCAAATTGTGTTAGGATTCTTTTGCACACAGTGTGCATTTGAAATTATCACTCAAAAGATAAAATAACATGTGGAAAAAAAATCCAGATGGTCAGCTATGTTGGTCTGAAGCAGAAGAACAAATTTAGAATCCAGTGGCACCTTTAAGACCAACAAAGGTTTATTCAAGATGTGAGCTATCGTGTGCACACACACCTTTTCAAATACATTAGAATGACATGGAAGGTTCAAACTTATAGCCAGAGAACTTTAGACATTCATCTGCTAGTTTGACATATTGATTGTTTTACAACTGTTGACCGTATAACCTTAACTTGCTATTTAGTGTCACTTTGCATACCTTGAACATCATCATATTACATGTTCATTCTCTGGCTATAAGTATGAACCTTCCATGCCATTCTAATGTATTTAATACCGTGAATAAACCTTTGCTGGTCTTAAAGGTGCCACTGGCTTCTAAATTTGTTCATATGAAAACAATTTTTCCAAGCAAATAATCTTGCTCTCAGATACACAATCTAGTGTCTAGTAACCTGCATATAATTAACTTTTTTAAAATTACACATTTTAAAAACCCATATAAGACCCATACAAGACAAAGTACATACAATATATTCACCTCCTTAAACAAACAGGAACAGTCTTTACATAGAGAAGAACTAATATGGACATACACATGAGCTTCAGACAAGGCTCACAAACTCAAGAAAAAGGGAGTGCATCGTGTATACTCCTTGAAGTTATTTATAGTCCATCTTTCTCCCTGGGACTCAAGGCAGAATTGGCTAGACTGTCTATCTACCAAAATTATAGTAAAATTATATAGGTAGGAAATCTTAGGCCTCCCTTTTAGTGTGTGATGGCTCACCATTTATGACTTTTGTCACAAAAACAGTGATTAAGAAGAAATATATATTTTCCCAAAAACCAAGTAGAAATATATTGGCTCTATGTTGCTTGCTTTGAGAATTCTTTCAATTAAAAACTCTAGTTACCCATGCCTGCAGTGATTTCCAGAATGTTTTGCATGCTTTTCTGTATCAGCCCTTCTTATAAACGCAGAAAGGATCTGTCAAAAACAATTTCTAAACAGCAGGCTCCACCTGCTGACAATCTAAGAATGTACATTACAGCAAAAAAGTGAAGGAAACTGCCAAAAGCACTGTTCAAATCCTGGTAGTACCTTAAAGACCAACAAGTATCCAAGGTATAAGCTGGACCTCCTGATGGCACCTGGTATATTTGGCCACTGTGTGACACAGAGTGTTGGACTGGATGGGCCATTGGCCTATTCCAACATCAGCTTCTCTTATGTTCTTAAGAATCAAAGCTCCCTTACTCAGATACCAGTACCAAAAGCACTAGTAATTAGAAACAAATTAAATATGCTTACCAGAACGACGCAATTAACAGTTTAATCCCAAAGAGAGGTTTTTGTTTTTTGCCGTCAAGTCACAGTTGACTACGGTTTGCTTTTTTCTATTGCAGTTCACTGTTAAGGAATTTAACTCAGTAGGAAGGACTTTCAGTTACCTAATAATAGTAGTGGAAACTTACGTAGATCACCACTTTCAAAGTATAGTTGTTTATTATTATGTACTTGAACATCACTTGCAAATGTTTTGTTGCACCTATTCACATTGTTACATATTTTTGTAATCATAATTTCTTGTATCAATAAAAAATATTGTATAAGAAAAAAGTCACAGTTGACTTACAGCAACCCCATAGGATTTTCAAGGCAAGAGACATTTAGAGGTTTGCCACTCCTTGCCTCTACGTCATGACCCTGGTATTCCTTGGAGGTTTCCCGTCCAAATACTAGCCAGGGTTGACCCTGCTTAGTTTCCAAGGTCTGACAAGACTGGGTTAGCCTGGGCTATCCAGGTCAGGGCAAGAGAGGTACATTTTGATGTAGTGGTTAGGAGCACGGACTTGGACCTGGGAGAACCGAGTTCGTCTCCCCACTCCTCCACATGCAGCTGCTGGTGTTACCTTGAGTCAATCATAAGCTATTTCAGAGCTGTTCTCTCATGAGCAGTTCTTGAAAGAGCTCTCTCAGCCCCATCTACCTCACAGGGTGTCTGTTGTGCAGAGGGGAAGGGAAAGGAGATTGTAAGCCGCTCTGAGACTCCTCTGGGTAGTGAAGGGCGGGGTATAAATCCAATCTCTTCTCTGCTTCTTCCTCCACTCTGCTTAGGAGGATGTAACTATGTAAGAGTGGACTTTAAATAAATCACCTTCACTGTTAGACATATTCCCCAAGTCACTTTCTACTCACAGGAAGAGTCAAATCCCACTAACCACAGCCAGGCATATACTTAAGACTCCTGTACAAGGACCTCTCCTTTTCATAGGTGCCTGCTCATTTGGTAAGAATTTGACCGAGAACCTATTGTGAGGTAAAGCGAGTGAGCAACAGAACAGGGCTCTTCCTGTTGTGATACCTAAACTGCTGAACATCCTCACCACATCAGTTTGTCTGGCACCAAGGCTTCCAAGATTTAGACACCAGGACAAGATTTTTCCCCCTCAGGAAGGACATTTGTTGATCATTGCTTACAGAGTTTATTGTGTTGGGCTTGGTATAAACTACTGCACAAAGGTTTGTTTTAAGATCCAGGTGGGCAGCAGTGTTCTGAAGCAGTAGAACAAAGTTTGAGTCCAGTGGCACCTTTAAGGCCAACAAAGTTTTATTCAAGGTATGAGCTTTCATGTACACACTTCCTCAGATACATTGAAATGGAACATAACAGTTCATTCATTAAGTAGAGTGTGAATTAGCATACAACATAATGAGGATGTTTTAACAGATACAAAAACTAAACAGGAATAACAAGTTTATATGGTCACCATTTGTTTGGATTTAATTACAGGGGAAAACACAGTGGAGCAAATAAATATGTCAAAACAGGAAACTGATTGTGTAAAAGTATCCTTCTCAATTGTGGAATGCTTAAGAACAGTTAACTAAGACTCAGGCCCTTTTCAAACTGCATTTGTATTCCATTTTAGTAACTGGTTACTAATGGATTTCTTCTGTCATTTCAGACAGACCTGTTTTAGTAACTGGCTACTAGCAGAATTTATTTACCTGTTCATACAAACCCAGTTGCATCAGGTTAGCAAGTATGGTTGAACGGCTTTTGAGGGAAACTGCTTTTTTCCGTTTTCAACCCCTTCATTGCACCTGAATCACTGTAGTGTGCTGTTTAAAATGTTCATAGTGCTTCCTGCAATGCCACTTCCCCCACCACCACCCTTTTTCACCACGTGATTTTCCTCGAACTTTTTTACCATTCTAATGTGAACACTATAGCACTAAACCACTACAGCACTTCAGTGCTTTAGCAGCACCATTGAGATGCATGGACTCCATTGATTCCATGGAGTCAATGCATCTCAGTGGTGCCCCTATAGCGCTGAGCTGCTATAGTGCTCACATTAGACCATAAAATAAAATCTAAGGAAGATTGTACAGTGAAAAAGGGCAGGGGGGGAAACGGCACTATTTGAAATTACCATAGTGCTTCAGAGACAGCTCATTAGCAGAAGGAAATTCGCTGTATGAAACCCCTGTCCATGTATCACTGTACTCAAAATCAGGCCAATAATAAACAACATCTGATTTAGAACAGTAATCGCATTGCAGAGATACAAAGCACCTTTAAGAACAAGAAAGTTTTATTCAAGTTATGAGCTTTTTGGCTTGCTACAGAGAGCGAGAGAGTTTTGTTGAGCTTATTATGCCAGGGTTCTCCTGGGTGCAGCTGGGTTTCCCTCCTCTTTTTCACTGTATTCATGCCCACATGATCCAGACTCTCTCAGTAGGAAAGCAATGTGAAATATTTAGATGAGGAATAACAAACCAGTAAAACGGATTAGGCTGAGAGTGTGTGTCCAGACCAAGTTTACACAGCACATTTCCTTTGTAGACTGGGGATTCTGAACTTCCCAGATAGTAGGCTGATACTGACCACTATACATTGCTGTCTCTCTATTCTTGCGCTGCCTCATAGGAGCTGTAGTTATTTCTCTGGGGAAGACTATAGTTTTGTAGACAAACACATAGCCCTCAGTCTGTGTCATGGTGCCTTCACATGTTCTTGACCAGCACCAGAAGCAACTTATGTACAAAAGCTCGCAATGCCCAGCCATTTCATGTTTTCCCCTGGGTCTTAGGCTCAGTGCATTGACCATGAGATTTCTGTATGAATGTCAATAAATCAAAAGTAGGTTGTCTTGTGTACACAGCATCATCAGGCAGAATGCTTTTCTACCCCTTGTTTGATTCCCAGCACCAGGTGTAGAAACCTGTAAACAGCATACTCAAGATTGCTACAGTACAGACACTGTCTCCAGATTTTGACGCAATAATTCAGAGCAAAAGGTGTCGGTTATCAGAGACTGTTAAATAAACAAAATATTGCAAAAGTGCTAATGTTTTAAGCATGTTTTATTTTAAGTTTAAAAAATCTTTTTGTTTGTCTGTGTCCTTTATAAAGTTTATATCTCTGCTACTTGGCATTACATTTTATGACACACATGGCCCGGCCTGACAAGGTCTCATTCATGTCAGATTCGGTCCTCATAACAAATGAGTTCGACACCCCTGGTCTAGAGTCTCAATAGAGGTCTTTTACATCACCACCTAGCCAATACTTTTAACTGGAGATACCAGTTAAACCAGGGACCTTCTGGATGCAAAGCAAATGCCTTAGCCACCAAATCACACCAACCCAGAAGGATAAAACATGCTCACCTTCCAAAGATTCTATGCCAGTGGCTTGGGCAAGCAAATCCTCATGCCTTGCAACAACCTATAAAGTAAGAATTTTGATTATAATTTGCATGTTAATTCACAATAAAAAATGGTTTGTGCACAAGGCCACAGTCTGAGAAGTGCAAGTCAAAAGCATCTGTAGACATAAGAAGTTGTCTGGTTCTTTGGATAGTAGCCTACACTGGCACTAATGGCAGCTGACCATAATAGTAATATTATTTCACCTGTCATTATGTTGAGTAAATGGCAGACTATTCTGATGAGTTAACACCATTCCTAGAAAGCACCAGTATAAAACTCAGATTTGGTTCATGCCCTTACCATGGCACAGCCTTGAAGATATGTTCACTGAACTGGCTGGAAATCTTATCCTGGGTTGGATCTTACCTAAATTCCATAAACGGAATAGTAACTCCCCCTGTCACCCAGAATAGCCCAAAATGCCCCCTAAAATGTCGCTCCAGGTGGATGAGGGACCCCAGCAGAACAGGAGGGGGGAGTCTGAGGGCTGCTACAGGAGGGGAAACTGCCTTCCCTCTTGAGCATGCAGATTGTTTTCAATGGGATCCAACCCAATGTGCAGCTGACAACTGTCAACATCCTCAGGACAAACAACCCAAGCAGCTGTTGCCCCCTGGTGTGAACTGGCAACCAAGACAATTTATGCAAGGCAATGTATTTTATGTGAATCCCTCTCAAAGTTTTATTATCTTGCTGCACCTTGAATTTCTCCAACAGATTCTAATAGTTCTGCCTGTTCAGGTCACAAAAAAAGCTGCCTCATGTCTTTTTAACTGAAAAGTACCGTATATACATTTTATTTAGCTGTGCTGTCTTTTCCCTGTGAAATACTGCTACCTCATATTGAATTCTACAACTTTCCCAGATTCAAACACACAAGATTCAGTCAGACATTCTACAGTCCCAAAGTAAAACATGACAAGAGATTGCTAAACGCAATCCCAAACAGAATTGAAATCAAAGGGCTGAAAGTGAAGTAAGAAGAAGAAGGAGGAGGATTGTGATTTTAATGTACTGTATAGATTGTTTTAGAGGTATTGTTTTATTGCTTTTATTGTTGTAAGCCGCCCTGAGCCGCTTCGGCGGGAGGGTGGGATAAAAATCAAATAAATAAATAAATAAATAAATAAATACACACACACACACACACACACACACACACACACTAGAAATAATGCCCGTTGCGGAAATAAATACAACGGGATCTAGAAAGAGGCTCTGGGAGAGTGCTCTGGCTTTGGGCAAACAGTGTCAGTTTCCTGTGGCGACCTCAGCAGGGTTTAATGACGGAGTCCACTGTTTTCTCCAGAGGGACTGATCTCTGCTACCTGAAGAGCATTTGTATGTTTGAGTTATCTGTAGCCCTCACCTGGAGAGTGGTAACCATTGTTACCCATTCTCCTCTCCCCTATGAGGTATGTTACCCAACTGCCTTGCGGGGGGGGGAGTTTGAGGTGTGGAATGGACTGAAGTCCAATCAGCTTCCATATGCAAAAGACCAGGTTGTCGCAGCAGTTGTGGTGTGGGCGGGACCCGGGCTTTGCCTTCTGATTGGTGGCGATATATGCTGAGGAGCAGTGCCATCAGCCATACACTAAGGGAGTGCATTTTAGAATTAGAACTTTGGCACCCTGTATTCAATTCTATATAAGGAGATATATATATATACCCCACCCTTCACTTGGGAGTCTCAGAGCGGCTTACAAACTCCTTTCCCTTCCCCTCCCCACAACAGACACCCTGTGGTGGGTGGGGCTGAGAGAACTCTGACACAAACTGCTCTTTTTCAAGGACAGCTGTGCCAGAGCTTGTGACTGACCCAAGGTCACATCAGCAGGTGCAAGTGGAGGAGTGGGGAATCAAACCCGGTTCTCCCAGATTAGAGTCCACGCACTTAACCACTACACCAAACCATAAGACCATCATTTAATTGCACAGCTCTTGTATCAACCCTTGGCTACTCTGCTATTACATCCCAAAAATTAACATAAGTAAGAGGAAGAATGGCACACCTACAAAAGGGGCCCTTATATATGTTTTAAAATTTGTAATTAATAAATACATGTATCTTTTTCTATATATTTTCTACATTTAGTTTTTTAATATTGGCCCTCTTTTTCACATTTTACTAACCTTTGTTAGATTCTGACACCTACAAAAGGAACACTAAGGAAAAGCAAATGTAATGGGTTGCATTTTGTAAATATTTTATATATGTTCACAGGCAGAGATTTTCATGAGAAGTGCCCAGAAACATTTCAGTTTTAATCAGTAGGAAGGAACAGATGCCATTTTTTACCCTTAGAAATGTCATGAATGTCTAGCATGGCTGTCCAAAAGTTAAATTGCATTACGAAACCTCATTCTCTTTAAAGCAGATGAATTATCTTGTGTTATCTGGCAGTGCCTGAGTGGAGACTGTTACCATTAGGTGCAGAGTTTTTGCCACCTGATCTGTTCACCCCCTACAGTCCCTTGAAGCTTAGGGAATCTGCCTCCTAGAAAGGAGGAAGTGTCTGGGGCTTGGTGTGGCCACCAAGGCAGAGCTTTTACCCACCCACAATCAAGGTTCCCTCTAAGCTGCGGAGTCTGGTGAGCAAAAATTCTACTTTGTGAGCTGCTGGCATTAAAGTTGTGAGCGAGCGATTTGGCTGCTGCATAACTTAGTTTGCTCTGGAGCCATTCTTCCTGAGCGGAGACAAAAATGTGTGAGCCGGAGGCTAAGAAACTATGAGCTAGCTCACATTAACTCAGCTTAGAGGGAACACTGCCCACAATGCTTCCCTTCCCTCCACTGAGGACTAGTTTGTTGCTGCCAAAGCAATTTGTTGCATTTGGTGATCTATTGTTTACTCCTGTTGTAAACTGCTTTGAGTCCACATTCAGTGGAGAAAAGTGCAGTTAAAGGAGCCAAAACAAACACTCCCACTTTTATGGGTGAAGAAGACCAACTTTCTCTTATAGAGGACAAGCAATGCATATTTTACATTTACAATTTCCTACATACTTTGGTGCTTCACTATTAAGATTTGTTTTAACACCAAAACCCACACACTTATCTAATATGCGCTATCCTCACTTACATTATTTACATACTCAGCTTTGGAAAATGTACACGTTGACAATTTGAAACAACTGGGTTAGCACCAGCTCAGCTATACTATAGGGAAGCTTTTGTAGGAGACAAAAATTAGCAATCAGTACCTCATAACCCAACAAGTAAACATGAAGTTACTTGTTATCATTTTAAAAGCCAACTGTACAATGCTATTCAGATCTCAGTATGTAGATCAAGTGCAATCTGCAGGACGCTTACTTGCAAGTGGAGTTCCTTATCCAGCTGACTGATCCCTTGAGCAAGTTTTGCCAACTGTTCAGCTATAACTGCTTGATGAATAGACTGTGAGGTGTACACTTTTACATCAAAATCTTCCCTCAAGAAGTCAGCATAACATTCTGAAAGAGACAGCAAAAGGAGTTATTTAACTTTCTTCTCCCTAACAGGCATTCCAAGTTTACTCCCAATCAGCCTCCATGGAATTATCTCCCAAGCCTATCATGCAGATCTATACAGGCACTCCACTTTTCGTCTCTTTCACTAACTCAGGCATGCGACTCTTAATACAATCACTGTCCCCTACCAAGGCATGAGAAACTTCACATTAGCCTTATTAAACAGCCCCAGAATCCACCGTGAGTGACTCCACTAACCATAACCTCAGCCAAAAGAAACCTTCAGTCAACCGGCCCTTATTTGTCCGCCAAAGGACTTAATGTTTTCCCGAGAGCCAGCCATTCACACGGGAAAGGACGAAGTCTAAACTAAAAGCCATGGGCTTACACCGGAGTGTCTCTGCATAGGATCGCAATGTAAAAAACAATCAACTACAGACTAACAACAATCCTTTCAGCACAGAAGGGCTGCAAACCGAAAGTCACTTCCTGGGGAACAAATCCCAGTGAGCATAATGGAACTTTCTCCAGACTAACATGAAAAGGACTGCCCATGCAGACCCGTTATCCTCGCTTCCCAAGCGCCTCCTGAAACTTCCCCTCACCATCTCCTAACAACGGCCCCACTGCCGTTTCCGGGGGGACTGCAGGTGCAGCTCCAAAACCAAACGCGCCTCTTTCTCCTTCCATGCTGGCATGCAACCGCCTTCCAATGATGCAGTCAGTCTGCGACAAGGAGCTCAACGTCGCTCGGGTCTCTCTTTCTTCCGGGATGATCTGCCGGAGCAACGCATCGCTCTTAGCCAATCGCTGGCTTTATTGAGGCAAAAGCGATGGCGGAACCGCGGCCATGTCAGGGTAAAAGATCCGACAGTAAACCCGAGCCCTTCAAAATATTTGCAAATTCCACAACGGTAGCCGTCGTGTTACAATGCCATCCTGTGCAGGGTTACTCCAGTCTAAGCCAGTTGAAATCAGTGGGTTTAGTCTGCAGTATCAGGAGCCCGGTAAGGTTGCCAAGCTCCAGGGTGGCGATGTCCTGGCATTGCATCTGATCCCCAGGCGATAGAGGTCAGTTCCCCTGGAGAAAACGGCTGTTTTGGAGGGTACACTCTATAACATTATACCCTGCTGAGGACCCTCCCCTTCCAAACCCCACCCTCCTCGGGCTCCATGCCTGAAATTTTCCAGCCTACAGTTGGCAACCCTAGGAAGAGGAACATGAATTTATTACTCCCACAGAAGTAAGAAGAAAATTGGCACAAAAATTATGCTGGAATAAAATCCTGTTAGTTTTGAAATCCAGAAGATAATCCCTGTTGTCTGTGAGCACTGCGGCGGCAAGAGTAAAGATAGCTCTCTCTCTCTAGTGATGCTTTAAAGACTAACAACATTTTATTCCAGTAGGGTTACCAAATGGGGCCGGGGCGCGGGGAATCCCCCGCTTTGGCGGCCCGATTTCTGACACGACAGAATCGCCCCCCGGGGGAAACCCCACCCCTGTGTGCACGTCACCCGGATGTGACGTCGCACGCTGGGGGCGGGGCTACAGCCATTTGAGGAGAAAACATATTGTTTTCCCCTCAAATGGCTGTGGCCCCGCCCCCAGCATGCGATGTCACATCTGGGTGACGTAGATATGTCGCGTGCGCAAGTAAAGAGGCTTCTTTTGAAAAGTGGAAGGTCTGCCCCAGTGAATTAAACAGAAGGGACCACAGGATCTGGCAAAAGAAATGTAAGTCAATAATTAGGCATGCAAAAACAGATTTTGAGGATCAGGTTGTTGAAAGCATCAAGGCAAACAATAAACATTTAAATATATCTGGAACAGGAAACCAGGCAGAGGAGCAGTTGGGCCTTTGGATGACCAAGGAATAAAGGGATTGCCAAAGGAAGATGGGGAGATGGCAGAGAAGGTCAATGAATTTTTTTGCTTCTGTGTTCACTGTGGAAAGTGTGGGGCATGTACCCATTTCAGGAACAGAGTCCAAAGAACTGAGTCAAATTGAGGTGACAAGACATATTGGGGCAATTAAAAACCAATAATTCTCCAGGTCCTGGTGGCCTGCACCCAAGAGTTCTCAGGAAATCCAAATGTGAGATAGTTGATCTACTAACCCATGTATGTAAAAGGTAAAGGTTCCCTTGCTCGAAAGCCAGTCGAATCCGACTCTAGGGTTGCGGTGCTCATCTCTGTTACAAAGCCAAGGAGCCAGCGCTGTCCGAAGACATTTCCGTGGTCATGTGGCCAGCATGACTAAACACCAAGGCGCACAGAATACTGTTACCTTCCCAGTGAAGTGATACCTATTTATCTACTTGCAATTTCTTGCTTTCGAACTGCTAGGTTGGCAGGAGCTGGAACTAGAGACGGGAGCTCACTCCGTCATGCGGCACCCGGGTCTCGAACTCCTGAACTACCGACCTTCCACAGCCTGCAGTTCAGCGTCTTAACCACTTGAGCCACTTGGCCTGCACGCAAGAGTTCTCAGGAAATGCAGATGTGAGATAGTTGATCTACTAACCCATGTATGTAACCTTTCACTAAATTCAGCCACAGTACCAGAAGACTGGAAGCAAATGTGACACCAATTTATAAAAGGGATCCAGAGGGGAACCAGGAAATTACAGGCCCATCAGCCTAACATCTGTCCCAGGCAAATTAGTAGAAACTGTCATCAAAGATAGAATTATTAGGCAGATAGAGGAACAAAGCCTGCTGAGGGAGAATCAGCATGGCTTCGGTAAAGGGAAGTTCTGCCTCATCAACCTTTTGGAGTTCTTTGAGAAAGTAAAAAGCATGTAGACAACAGTGATCCAGTAGATATTAGATACCTGGACTTTCAAAAGGCTTTTGACAAAGTACTTCACCAAAGACTCCTGAGTAAATTTAGCAGTCATGGGATAAAAGGATGGGTTCTTTTCTGGATTAAATTATTCAGGATGGTGAAAACCGAGGCTGACTGTGAAGAGCACCAAGAGGATTGGGTGAGTGGGCAACAATGTGGCAAATGAAGTTCGATGTTGGTAAGTGTCTGTTGGCAGAATTTAGAGATGAAAAGGAAGTGGAGCACTGACTGCTTAGAGAAAAAATAAGTAGGTTTATTATAGAAGAACAAACTGTTATAGAACAGACAGAGAGAAAGCCTACACTAACCAGTCTAACTGCTGTAAAAGGAACAAAGAGCAATAGGAAGCTCTACAGGAGCAGGAAATTTCCAGAAGAGCCAATCAGCAAGGGCACAATTTGAAAAAGTGGGAAGTCCCTAGTCTAGCTATGCTAACTACAAGTCCCTCAGCTGTCCCTCTGTAGGATGATCTTCAGATTTTCATAAGGTTGCACTATAGACCTTGCATACTCCAACAAGTGTCAGGTGATGCATATTGGGACAAAAAAATCCCAGCTTCAAGTATAGGCTAATGGAGTCTGAACTTGCTGAAACTGAGAGGGGAAAAGATCTTGGACGTGTCAATGGAAGTGTCAACCTAGTGTGCTGCAGCAGTGAAAAAGGCAAACTTACACTGCCCTTTTGGGACATAAACAGAAATACATTGGCACCAGGTACCTCCCTGGTCACAGCATTTCTTGGACAACTGTGGTTAAACCCAGGTAGTCAGGGGTCTTTTGGGGCCAGAGCGGTGCTCTGAGAGCCCAAGAGCTGGCAAAATGACAGTGGCAGCAAGCCTCAGCTCCCTGCGCTACAGACTGTTGCCGCCTTTTCGGGGCCCGCGCCAGAGCGCTGCAGCCCCAGGGAGTCCCGAGGAGGCCTGTCACTAAATTCCCAGGGCCCGCGCTGGAGCGCTGCGGCCCCAGGGAGGCCGGAGGAGGCCTGTCGCCACCTGCCTGGGGCCCACACTGGAGCTCTGCGGCCCCAGGGAGGCCGGAGGAGGCCCATCGCCGCCTCCCAGGGTAAGTGAGGGATCCGCAGGGTGTGGCGGAGGCTTAATTGGCCTTTTCTTTTCCTCCTTTTCTTTCTCTTTCCAATCTCTTCCTTCCTCTCTTTTCCTTCTTCTTTCCTTCTCTCTCCCTCTTTCTTCCCTTCTCGCTCTTTCTTTGTTTACCTCCTTTCATTCTCTCCTTTTCCTCTTTCCATCCTTCCCTTCTCGCTCTTTCTTTCCCTCCTTCTTTCTTTCTCTTTCTTTTCCTCTTTCCTTCCTTCTTTCCTTCTCTTTCCTTCTTTCATTCCTTCTCTCTACTCTCTCTCTCTCTTTCCTTCCCTCTTTCCTCCTTCTGCGGCCCAACTCTAGTGGGAAGGGGTTTAAACTTTAAACTCCTTCTCTCTTTGCCTCCCCCCTGCTGGCTGGGGAAGGGAAGGGGAGGCTTTTGAAGATGCCTTCCCCCCTTTTGCTTCCCCTTCTGACATCACTTCCGGTGATGTCAGGGGGCATTGCATATGCTAATGAGCTATTATGCTAATAGCCTAGTAGCTCATTAGCATACCGTAACCTAATGAGCTCCTGGAGCTCTTTTTCTACGAAATGACCCCTATGTTCAATAGAGGAGCAAGGGTGTATATAGGCTCTGTGACATCACTCAGAATGCACAAATTTGGCCCAAATCATATCTAGAAAAGAAACACAATATGGAAACTCCGTGGATCCAATACCATCAGATCTATTATATATTTTACAAAACTGGATTAAACTCTACTTAATAGAGATGTATCCAAATTGGAGCAGTTTTTGAAATCTAAAGTGAACTATTCTAAGGGCTTGATCTCTATAATTTATAAATCTCTGAATGTTAAGCATTGGACATGCCAGTCCAGCTGCCAGGGAGCTTGGCAAAAAGACTGTGGTAACACTATTGATGAACAACAATGGAGTTCAATATGGTCCTCCAATATTTATACCTCAAAAGCATTAAATATTCTATTGCAATCTTTCAAAATTTATACCGGATGGTATTTGACCCCACTGATACTATATCACACAAAATTAATTGGTAACCCTCAGTGTTGGGAAGGGTGTGGTAATACGGGCACCTTCATTAACTGCTGGTGGATGTATCCAAAAATTCAACCTTTTTGGGAAAGGATCAGGGGTCATTTCCTGCAGGAGCGCACAGGAGCGGAGCTCCAGCAGTAAAGAGCCCAGGGAGCGGGCACATGCAACAAGCCCCACCCCCTGCTCCCAGCAGCCCCCAGCCACCGCAAGACACAGCCCAGGATTGCAGCGCTCCTCCCAGGCCCCCCCCCCAGTCCAAAACAGTCCAGTGGCACCTTTAAGACCAAGTTTTATTCAGGTACAAGCTCTCCTTCCTTTGTGAGGACAGATCTGCATGTTCTCCCCCCCCCCCCCAATAGCTAGCAATCCAAAACAGTCCAGTGGAGCCTGAGCGGTGGGTGTTGCCTCCTGACATACTTCCGGTGATGTGAGGGGGTCTGGCATATGCAAATAAGTTATGCTAATGAGTTATGCTAATGAGCTCCTGCACCTCTTTTTCTACAAAATGACCCCTGGAAAAGATATTTACATACATAAAAGATATAACTAATTACTCTTTGCCAAGCAACCCCGAACTCGTCTTGCTAAACTTATAGCCCACTAATACAAGTTCCAAACAGAAGAAAGAATTAATAGTCATACCGTTGACAGCAGCTAAGATGTTGTTAGCACAGAGATGGAAGTCAGATAAGACCCCTATGGTTAGACAATGGTTTGTGAAAATATGGAAATTGATAGTGATG